ATAAAAAATTGATATCATTTTCAACACTCCCGCTGCCCACTGTCTGAACCCTATATACGAAGACAAGGACAGATCTGTCATTTAAAAAAATATAAGATAAAATGTCTTTTTTAATTATTAATTAAAATAAATTATTTAGTATTTAAAATGTAATATCATTACACATAAAAAATCTATATATCACCTAAATCTATTTTTAAGGGGAGCTAATATACGATGATATTTTAAATAATAAATAATTTATCTTAATCAATAATTTTTAAAAAATAATTTATCTATATATTTTTTTAAAAAGCATATCTATCCCTGCGCTCTAGCCTATTTGGGGTTTAACCACGGCCCACCCCCCAACCCCTAACTTCTAGCTCTAAGATCAATCTTCCAACGGTCGAACCAGCAAACACTTTGGGACGAACGGTGAAGCCAAAAACCCCGAAAGCAAAACTCAGACCACAAAGCTGGTTGCTGAGATGCAATCTGAAATCTGGCAGACGAAATATGGAAGTAATGAAACAATATAGCACCCAATAAATGAGTGATATAACAACTTTTGCTGGATTAAGCCAACTCCACGATCTAACCGTGATACCATGCTCATCAGCAGGACGGGAAAAGAGAAAATGTGGACTTTTTACAAGTTCTTTGATTCAATTCCCCGATATAAAGAGGGTATGTACAGGTATACTAGGGGATACCCAGGATATCAATTGTACCTCCCGTAATTGGTTTGTAATGCTATGAATTATACTTTCCATACCAGTCCTCTCATTTCTATATAATATTTTGTTATGCTCAAACCATAAGCTGTATGCAGTTAATGAAAACAAAGCACGAATCCACCTGTGGTTGGAACTCCTTCCTCTATGCTGTCTGTAAACCCATCTCCAGTCCAAAATCCTAGAAGAGGGAGTTAGAAGGACATCAAATTTCTGCAGGATCCCATACCAAACCTGACTAATCACCGTAACTTGAAAGAAAATGTGATCAGTAGTCTCTTCCTCCACATTACAAAACAGACTTAGCATCTATGTTAAGGCCACGGCTTCGCAGAGTTGTTCATGTTTTAGGCCTGTCCCTTACCAACAGCCAGACCATGAAACTATGCCTTGGGATAACATCCTTAGCCCAAATCATGGAATACAATCTCACCTTCCTCTTTTTAAGCTGCAGAATCTCATAGCAATAAGCAATGGAGAATTTCCTCAGTTGACCATTCAGGGTCACCAACAAGGCTTGATCCTTATTACCATCAATCTCCATAGCTTGTATTTCCCTAGCTAACCTAGTTGACCATTCAGGGTCACCCACAAAACTAACAGGGATGGGCCATGCGCCATTGGAAATCCACTGACTAACCATTACAGTTGCCGCCCAAGAAGCAATCTCCTCAGATAACCCATGGTGCTCCACCAACCTTCCAGACTCCAGCCACCAATCGTAAGGGAAAAAGTGGACTTGTCATACTCTAAACAAGAATTTAAATTATTGGCATCAAAATAAAGAGAAGCTGCTACCATGGGAAGCGGGGCAATCAGGAGTGCAAAGGCAATCATGTAGACTCTTACTGAGACAAACTTAATTAATGGGAAATGTTAAAAAGTAAGCGTCTATTTGGTTACCATTTCCTTGGAAGGTATTTCTGGGGAGCTGACAAGTTTTTGAGCCGGTTAAAGGCCCATGAAATTTCATTTCTAACACGAATTTCAATGCAAAAATATAATTAATTATGTTTGAAGAGTGTTTCTAATAGGTTATATCCCCGATTCAGTCCCTGAACTTTCATTTTTGGACTAAAAATACCCTCGAACTAAAAAAAGTACTAAAAAATCCTTAAACTTCAATTTTTGGAACCATTTTAGTCCTTCCGTCGACGGAAGTGCCAGATGGCACGTTAAGTTGCCATGAAATCAAGCTTTTTTCTTTCTTTTTTTCTTTTCTTTCCTTTCCTCTTTTTTTCTCCTTCTCTTTCCTTTTCTCCTTCCCCTCCCTACTGGGTTCGAAGGAACCCAGCACCAGCGCCTGGGTTCGTCGAACCCAAGGTCCTGGGTTCGACGACCCACGCCTGGGTTC